CCGCGAGTAGTGGTGTTATAGAACGACTTGCGATAACAAAAGGCCGTGTTATAACACGGGTGTGCGTTATAATACCACAGGGTTGAGGTGTTATAGACGGCGGTTGAGGTGTTATAGACGGCAGTATAATGCATGGGGAATATTCCCCATGAGTTATAACACAGTCCCATGATATAATTCCCCATGTGTTATACCACCGCCTATAACACCTCTACCTGCGGTATTATAACACAGACCTGTATTATAATGTTGTCCCGTGCTATAACTCATGGGGAATATTCCCCATGTGTTATACCACGGGGCAAAGGTATTATAGGGTGACGATATAAGTGTTATAGCGTGCAATAGTGTATTTATATGGAGCGGCGTTATAACACGCATGGAATATTCTCTTATGTTATAGGGCGGCAGTATAACGCGCTTGGGCGGCTGTTACGCGTTATGAAGCGAGTTTAACCTCTTTTTTTATAAAAAATGATGTGTTATAGATGTGTTATTTAGTTTTTTATTTCATAAATCTTATTTAGCTAATATATTTAATTAATAATATATATATTTCTTAATTTTATAAGTATTTATAGGTGTTTTTTCTGTATTATTGTTGTGTTATTATAGTATTTTAAGGTGTTATTGAGATGAGTATTGGTGTTAAATAGGTGTTATTCAAAAAGAAACATTAAAATACCAATCATAGCATTAAAGCATTTATAGAAACATTTATTTAAACAGTTAAATACCAATAAGTCATTGAATAAAATGAATCGCCAAAATATTTCATAAAATTATTACATTAAACTATCATCGAAATTAATGAATCATATGAAAATGTCAAAAATGTTGCTGAATTACATTAACAAAGTAATATTATAAATATAGATCACTTATTGAATCCATCAACAATCTTGTATGTCCTTGTGTTGGTTGAGATGCATCATATTCCTGCAATAATGGAGAAATTAAATAGGGAATAAAAATCAAATTTGCCATAAAAAAAATTACCTAACTACGAAAGTCTAGCATTTCAGTTAAATTTGCCTCATAATGAATATCAAGATGTTGGCTTGTTGATGCTTCTTGCTCCTTTCCTACATGCATGAGTTAAAATAGCAGAACTTAATGAAATATTTACTTTTTGCTCTTTTATTTTTCTCTCAATACCCTTTTAACCTATATGTAGAAACTCCTGTCGGCCTCATCTTTGTTGGGTCATTCAAATTGAATTGGGTATTTGGTGTTTTTCTCTTTTTTGTTTTATTCTTTGTTTGAGCTGGACAGCTAGTGCGTCATCAAGATCTACAGACAGATGCTTCAATGATTTCCACAGAATTTGCTGGTTGTTTTATTTAATTTTGCTTTATTAATAAGTTGGTATAAAAACTTGTAAGTGTGTGAACAAAATAGTATATCATTTGGAGAACCAGTGCTTGTCTAGGATTCCTTCATATCTTTGTAATCAAAATTGTTATACATGTTTCTTTTAGCCTGAGAAGACCATCACATTAACAAATATTTTTTGGGAATTTGCTGTATTTGAGCCGCATTAAGCACATAAAGTGAGCGAGAACATAATTTCCCCATCATTTCAAATTTTTTGCAACTCCAAGTGACCTCAGAATTGTCTTTGTCAAGTTTCACAATCTAGTACTTGTTTGTCCCTTGAGTATCCAAATTTCTTACATAATATTCTGAGTCACTATCTGGAAAGCATTCAGTTATAAGTCCACATAACCCATCCAATAACTCTTGCTAGAACTTTAAGTAAAGCTTTCTCGAATAAAATGTGGCAGTTTGCCTCAAGATTTGGTTGTCTTTCACCACAGGCGTAGTGACCGATTGATCACTTTTGAAATATTCGTCCTTCTCATTTCGGCGCTATGATTTCATTAAATTTTCGAGACCAACGAAACAATCTACGAGAGAACTAGTGTGCATTGCAACGATGTGATAAATATTATTGGTTGACTTACTTCTTTGTGTTGGCAATATTTTCATTTCAAATATTTATTTATTAAATGATGTCGACCATTTATGCATTATCTTATGCATATCATTTAACCACATGTTGCAATGTAGGTTCCCCTTCTCAATCATTGTGGCCCATGTTTCTTCAAAATTCTCTTTGGAATCACACTTGCTCATGCATTTGTAGAAGAGATCGCTCACAATTTTGACACCAACAACACAATGAACTTTCGAAGGAAATTTCTTGTATATATGTCATTGACATAATTTGTGTCGTGTTTGTGGAAGACAAACTTCAATAGCTTGTGTCATTGCTTGATCCTGATTCGTGAAAATTGTTGTTGGATGCTTGCCACCCATTATTCAGATAAATGCTTTGAATAACCAAATGAAGAAATCAATGGTCTCATCAGACAAAAAACCCACTCCAAAGAGGACGTTTTGCCAATGGTGGTTCACCCCCTTGAAAGGAGTGCAACATAAATTGTATTTATTTAATCTAAAGCTTGTATCAAATATTATCACATCCCCAAAGCAATCATAATCAAGCCTGGATAACCTGTCATTCAAGGTTCTCCACTCCCCAACCTCTGTGACCATAAAGTTACGTACATCTGTTGCTCGAATCCCTGATTCTGTCATTGATCTCAACAAATATGCATTTAACTCACTTATTTTTCTACTGGAACACAAAATATGCTTATCACCACTTTCGACAAGAGGGTGGTTAAGACTTTCAATGAATTTCTTAACTGTTCAATGGTTAAGATCTTCTACTGGAACACAGAAGATGCTTATCACCACTTTCGGCAAGAGGGTGATTATGAATTTCAATGAATTTCTTAACTGTTCAATTTCCTTCAAAATCAATGACATATCTAACCATGACTTGACATCCAGTCCCCGTGTCAGCTTTTCAGAACTTCACAGCATTTGTCGGGTTTGACTCTTTCTGGCCAGCCTTTCCGCAAATAAAATCTGTGGTTTTAATCTTCTTAGAGTTTGGCCAATTGCTGTTATGGTCCTTTTTAACAGAAAATTCTACATAATGAGCATAGAAACTAAACCCATAGTAGTTTTCATTAGCTTCTTGTTCATTGTGGACAGCGGTGCGAAAAAACCTCTCTGCGATTAGATCATTGCACATATTTTCACATTGCATATTACCACACCAATTTAACAATGGTCAGATAGATATTAAAAAAATAATACTACAATAATATAACAATAACACAAAAATAACACAACAATAACACATCAATAATACAACAATAACTGTTCAATTTCCTTCAAAATCAATGACATATCTAACCATGACTTGACATCCAGTCCCCGTGTCAGCTTTTCAGAACTTCACAGCATTTGTCGGGTTTGACTCTTTCTGGCCAGCCTTTCCGCAAATAAAATCTGTGGTTTTAATCTTCTTAGAGTTTGGCCAATTGCTGCTATGGTCCTTTTTAACAGAAAATTCTACATAATGAGCATAGACATAGTAGTTTTCATTAGCTTCTTGTTCATTGTGGACAGCGGTGCGAAAAAACCTCTCTGCGATTAGATCATTGCACATATTTTCACATTGCATATTACCACACCAATTTAACAATGGTCAGATAGATATTAAAAAAATAATACTACAATAATATAACAATAACACAAAAATAACACAACAATAACACATCAATAATACAACAATAATACGACAATAATACAACTACAATATAACAATATTACTACCTAAACACAACAATAACACCACTAGAATAATACAATTCATAGAAACTAAACCTTAAAAATAATACCACAATAACACTAGAAAACTAAACAAAAACATCACATAACACCTTAATAAGATGAGAATAACACGTTAGTAATACAACAATAATACAATTATAACACTACTAAAATAAACCAAATTTTTAAATATCTCACACCACTAGAACAATACAATCCATAGACACTAAACCATAACAATAATATATAATAACACTGGAAAACTAAACAGTAACATCACATAACTAAAAAAGACAAGAATAACACGTTAGTAATACAACAATAATAACACTACTAAAATAATACAAATTTTTAAACAATCACACCACCAAAACAATACAATCCACCCACACAATCCCTATACCCTATACCATAACAATAAAACCACAATAACACTATAAAAACTAAAAAATAACATCACATAAGACGACAATAGCACGACAATAATGCATCATTAATACAATAATAATAAAACAATAACACAATTAGGACAATACAGTTCATCAACCTAAACCTTAACACAAAAATACTAAATCATAAACCCTAAAAACACCTAACAAAAATCAGCTAAACCAACATAAAACAACAATGCAAAACTCAAATCAAAATAAAACTAAAGTATACTAACTTCTGATTGAAGCTGACTGCTATTATTTCAGGATTCTATAGCAATATTTCTTCGCCTACAGAGAAATTGATCACACCAGCTCGAAACTCAGCGCAAAGAAAACCTAAAGCCACAAAATGCACTTTTCTGGACTGGCGACAACTTAAAAATGAGACAAAAGTCTTTTGGCTGGATTAACATCAGACTTTCTCGCTTATTGGACTGAAATCAGGTTTCGGTCGGGCCAGGCCACGCCTTCTTAATTCATTTATTTTGCACTCTTTCTTCTGGGCCCCAAAATTCCAAGTGGCGAAGGTTAATTTGACTCCGCTCGCTACTCTGCATGCGGAGTCTGGACGTAATAAGAGCTTCATTTCCTAGGGTCATCCTTGACCACACTTGTATATTAGACCGTTGAATTTACTCTGGATTTTTGCTTATGCATTTGTACAAACAATATGAAAATATAAAATTTAGGTGCTAGGTATGTAAATACACAATTTGATGGTATGTATGTAAATTGCAAAGGTTCCAAGAGAAATTGTTTTTTGTTTCATTTATTTTATTTATCGATTGGGTGTCGACTTTGTAAAAATGATATTTATATATGAGATAGGTAAATGGATTGGGTGCAGTGTATGTAAATTTCCGTTATTTTATTTGTCCTTCGAGAGGCAACTGACTTCGAATCGGATTTTCGGAAGTACGAGTCTGTAGAATGCGACCATATGATTGGATTCCGGCAGTTTACGTCGTTTCGGTGCCATTTACTTAGCTCGCTCGCACCTAAATACCCGAGACTGTCTGCTCTCTGCCGCGACCGTGTACCCGCTACCGGATTTCTGCTCTGCCCTCTTTTGGGTTACGGCGATTTATTTAGATTGCTTGTCAAATTCAATGGTAGGGCGAACTGCAGCTCCGGCTCGCTCTAATTGTGTGGATGCGTGGCTACTTCATGAGTTCTCTGCCTATGGTTTGAATTGAATGAATCTACGCTTATGAATCGAGGAGATATCGTGTTTAATCTATTGCGACGTACTTGGATCGTGCGGGTTTGACGATACTTCATCTGCTTTAGGTTGAGTCTCTTTGTTTCTCCAGCCTTGAATGCCAGTTCTGTGGACGAAGGCTTGAAGAAATCATGAATTGGAAAGAAAAGGCGAGAGACAATAGAGAGCAAAGTGGAGCTATTCCCTGTGGCCAGGTTCGGGTTCTTGTTGCCGGTGATTCAGGTACTTCTAATCGATATTTTTATCCTTTCTTTGATTACTTAATTATTTCATGGAGGGATGATTTCAAAGAGGATTATTCTACTTGGTTTTTCTTTTTTTGTGTATTTTTGAATTATTATTAAGATGAACAACTTAAAATAGTTAGGGAAGGTAAATGTAGCAACGCTCAATGATATGAATTGGAAGGTTGTTTACATTTGTTTGTTAAATGACACCGAAAATTACTGGAACCCTAGAAAAGTCAAACTTCTTGATCTGCCATTTTCTTATAGAGGCTGCTAGAATTTTCATTATTAACGGCCTCAATTAGTTGCTGATCATGGATTATACAAATAATTTTTAATCTTTTGTTTGGTTGACCTATGATATAATGATCATTTCAATTAATGCTAGAATGAGTTAGTTTAGAAGGAATATTTGGAATTCAGAATCATAGGATGCCTAACAATAGATTGAGTCAAGTGGAGTTGCGTACTGAGCTGATGAAATCGTTAGGGGTGAAGAGCTGATGAAATTGTTGATGGAGGTGGTTATGGAGCTTGACGCACCATCAACATTGTGGTATTAAAGGGAAGTATTTAGGTATCGTAAGGAGTTAGAAGGGATTGGGTTTGGCCAACATGATAGAGGGAACTGAACATGAGGAAAAGGGGATCAACCAGCATTGTGATACGACAAATTAATTCAAATTTCATTATTCTAGCTACTTTTTGTAATAGACACTGTATTGAAATACTATGATAAACCTACTGATTTCAATGCAATGACAAATAGTTGTAACTACAAATGACACATTAACGCTTGATAATTCACATACAGTTAAAGGACAGATGCATGAAACATATCATAGTATAAATAAAAGACATGAACGATATAGGAACATAAATATTGACAAAAGTACCAAGCCCTGCATCAAAATGGAATTTTGTTTATGTCAGTTTATGGAACTAACAATAAATAGCTCCATAGCATAGTGATATGCATAGTAAGTGTGAAACCACATTTCTGTAAACCGACATAGAGGAAATGAGAAAATTGAACAAGAAGTGAGGAGTCAAACAGTTAAAGGAGGGAGGTGAAGCGTAAGGGTCAGAAGCCAAACAGGTAAATTTTGCTCTATAAAACGTCGAAAGCGACTTACCTGTACGTCGAGTTGTTTCTATTGCAAAAGTCGAGCAGTTGGAGCCTGACCGATCAAGGAAAAGATGCTCTCGTTATGTCATCAAGTTTCGAGCAGGCATTCGGTGCGAAGGTAGAAGACAAGCAGAGCACAGGGGAAGATACCGAAGGAGAAGAAGAAGAAATGTGAGGAAGAAGAGGTTGGCCAACCCTAATTGTGGCGTCAGACATCGTCTTCACTGCGGGAGGAGATCCTTTGTGCAGAAATCGCTAGATCTCGATCAATAGAGCCGAAGGAGAACAAAGGGAGAAAGAACGCGCGACGACATTCTTGCGTACGTGCAAGAGGTCAAGCCAAGTATTGCACACAAAGAAGAGAGGGATTCACTTTCGGGGCTTAGGGCTTGACCAAGCTTTGCCGCTCGGTTCAAATGAATTAGAGCAAGGGAGAGGGGAAAAAAAAAGGTAAAAAATACTTAATTGTTTGAGTTATTATAATTAATTAAAATGAAATTTCAGAAATTTAATAGTTAATTGATTTCAATTTTATTTCTAATTGTTTAAATGCTATCAATAAAAAGACAAAAACACGAAAAAGAGAATTTTGCAATTAATTTAAATGTTTAATTATATAAGATGGTTTGGTCACATTAAGCGTCGACCATCTGATGATCCGATTAGGAGAGTAGGTGTTTTAGATTTGACGTATGTTAAGAAAGACAGAGGTAGACTTACAAAGACTTGGGCTTATTGAATAAAAAATGATCTTAATTTATTAGAACTAAATGAAACTATGATACTAAATAGGACGCAATGAAAAAAAAAGATTCATGTAGCCGACCCCACGTAGTGGGATTAAGGCTTTGTTGTTGTTTGTTGTTGTTGTTGTTGATGATGAGATTAGGTTTACAAGCTAATTTAAAGGTTTATAAGTTAAGCATGTTAAGAAATATAGGAAAATTAATTATGGCATAAGATATAGTAATAAAAATATATGAGGTAGCTTAATATTAAAATAAAAATTTGGCTAAATTAGTTAGTTATGTGTTTCATGAAAAACTAAAAGAAATTAGATCACTATATAGGTAAATTTCTATATAATTAAAACAAATAATTAATTAATTTATTATGAATAACTGTGTTTATTATAGGTTTCAAATTTTAGAAGAGTCGACGAAAAAATAAATTAAATAACAAATTAATTATCATCGAGGTGAATATTCATGTTCTTATTTTCTGGTGATAGTTTGTTTCTTCTACATCAAATATATTTACTAGTACCATCACTGCAAACTCGGAATTTTGAATTCTAGTAAATTTTTGTTCATATTGTAGGAATGATATGTGTGCATGAAATTTTTAAATGATTTGTAAGTATATTGTCTAATATGCTAAATTTCGCTCTATAAAATGTCGCAAGCGACTTGCCTATAGCGTCGAGCAGTTTCTATTGCAAGGGTCGCGCAGCTGGTGCCAAACCGATCAAGGAAAATATGCTCTCTTGACGTCATCGAGCTTCAGATAGGAATTCGGTGCGAAGGTAGATGATGAGCCTAGCGCAGAAGAAGATACCGAAGAAGAAGAAGAAACCTGTGGAAGAAGAGGCCGACCAACCCTAATCGTGGTGCGAGACATAATCTTCACTGCGGGAGAAGATTCTTTGTGCAAAAATTGCTCGATCTCGATCAACCAAGTTGAAGGAGAAGAAAAGGAGGAAGAAGGCGTTCGTGCGTATGTGCAGGAGGTCGAGCCAACTATCACACACAGAGAAGAGAGGGATTGACGTTCGAGGCTTAGGGCTTAACCGAGCTTTGTCGTGCGGTTCAAATGGATTAGGGCAAAGGAGAGAGGGAAATAAGGTAAAAATACTTAATTATTTTAGTTATTATAATTAATTAAAATAAAATTTCAGAAACTTTATAGTTAATTGATTTCAATTTTATTACTAATTGTTTAAAGATAATCAGTGAAAGGCGAAAGTATGATAAAGACAATTTTGCTGCAAGGAATTCAGGTGTGAAGCTTAATTTAAGTGTTAAATTATTTTTTATATGAGATTAGTTTTACAAGCTAATTTAAAAATTTCTATGTTAAGCATGTTAAAAAATATATGAAAATAAATTATGGCATAATGTATAGTAATACAATCATATGAGGTAGCTTAATATTAAAATAAAAATTTGGCTAAATTAATTAGCTATATGTTTCATGAAAAACTAAAAGAAATTGGATCAATATAGGTATATGTTTTTATAATTAAAAAATTAATTAATTAATTTATTATGTTTATGTTAGGTTTCAAACTTTAGAAGAGTCGACGTCAAGATAAATCAAATAACAAATTAATTAGTATTGATGTGAGTACTCGTGTTCTCATACTATATAGGTATTTTGTTTCTTCTACATCAAATGCATTTACCAATAATATCATTTGCTATATTGAAATTATTGCAAACTCAGGATTTTGAATCCTAATGAATTTTTGTTTATATGGTAGGAATGATATGTGTGCATGACATTTTAAATGATTTATAAGTATATTGTCTGATATGCAAATATGGATGAAATATATTTTTAGTAAATCATGATTTTAATAGAATGTTTGTATATGCATGATTGACTATGATGGAGTCATCTCTCGATGGTACTGGTGAGAGCATACTAAGGTACATATGCACATATATGTGAAATAATATTGATATTGAAGTACCTTAAGTGGTATAATTTTTAGACGGTGCTCCTATGACAACTGTATAAATATAGAATGATATTGGTATGTTATTGATTAATAAAATTCATTGATAATATCTAAAATGTTAACATTGATTTATTAAAGATTTAACTATCATGCATTTTACTTTTTTTTTATTTGTATTGTTTTAGTTTATAAATATGAGTTTTCACTAGCTTATTTTGTTCACTGATATTTTTAAATTAACTTTTTTAGGTTAATTTAATTGTTTAAAAGATGAAAGATAGAAGGTAAAATATTTATAAAAGATGTGGACAAATAATAACGATGTAATTTTAAATATGTTTCTTTAATTTAATTTAATTAGTGACTCTTTTATTTATTAAATTGTAGCCGAATATAGAAAATTTAGTTTCTACCATCTGACCGTAGTGACAGTAAGACCAACAAGAGAGGTTATTTTTATATAAACAAAATTGGTTCTATAACAATCATAGATAGAAGAAAATAATCGAACCATGAATATCCTTTCGTTATAATAATAAAATATATTGGTAATTTTATTTAGAGGCATTTACAAACACTAACAATTCTTATGTATTTACATATCAAACATCTAAACTCTCATATTTACCACTCAAATCTTTAACATCACGAAAAAATACCGCAATTGCTAACTTCATAAAAGTGTATTAGACCTTTTCATGCATTGATTTATGACACCAATGTGTTTTAAGTGTAAATATTATACTTTGGGTGTTAGACATGTAACTACATAAAAACGTGTCACATGTATATAGATTTTCCTTTTTACTTATATAGAGTATACTTGGGAAATTTAAAAGAACTTATGACTAATGCGTGTGTCAATTTCTGGATTGGGTCTTCAATATAATTAGACTAACCAGCCCATTATATAGATCAATTGGGTGAGCTTCTTGTTGTTGATAATAGACTATCTGATAATGTGAAACATAGAGTGGTTTGAACATTAATGTCTTATGTTGATCAATCTACTGTATAGTTATCTTGTTGCTTGTTTTAATCTAGAACATAATTGTTCCTCTTTAGTGCTGCCTATATTATAGACTACGTTTTAATAGCTTATGTACATGACTTTTTAATAACTGTGAATAAAATTCATTCCTAGATCATAAAAACTTTAATCAGTTGTTCGCAGGTGTTGGGAAAACATCATTGGTCCATCTACTTGTAAATGGTTCTGCAATCTCTCGTCCTTCTCAAACTGTTGGCTGTACAGTTGAAGTCAAGGTAAGGTTTTTTGCCTTTTGATACAAACACCATTTAGTTTTTCATTGATCCTTATGTGTTTCCTAATGGCTTTCCAGCATATTACTCATGGACGTAGTGGAAGCTCTTCTAGTAGCATAAAAGGTGATGAGGAAAGGGACTTCTTTGTTGAGCTATGGGATATCTCTGGACATGAGAGGTACAAGGATTGTCGCTCTCTTTTCTACAAGCAGATCAATGGTAAGGGAGGATTTCCCTTTTCTTGATCTTTCTATCTGTTATTTAATCAATTTTTGTAGGCATCCATGCTATCTAGGTTTTATAATTGTTACCATATTTGCATTACTGCTGTCTTACCTATAATTGTTTGCCGTTTTTCATAGCTACCCTCTTGTCCAAGTTCCTGTTCTACTACTTTTATAGCACGCCTTTTGACTTTCTTGTTATTTGTTCTTTTAAAAGCACAAATTTTGGTTTTCTATTAAAATTTTCGCTTTCCATAGAATTATTAACCTATATTAGGTTCTTTATAAATTGATAACTTAAAATAAAGAAAGGAAAGGATGTGAATAACATGCAGCACGAGGACCTTTTCAGTGAACTGTAAAGAATGTTCATATGCACCAATTTAGCGAACAGTTAAAAGAATGATCGTATATTTTCCCAATGTATAGCAATTTAGTGGATTGCCACATGTTCCTCTATGCAAATCTATTCATTCATTTATTCTCTCTTCTCTTTGGATAAATTCTAATCTCTTATTTACCCTTGTGTGAAGGTGTTATATTTGTTCATGATCTCTCTCAAAGGAGGACAAAGTCAAGTTTGCACAAGTGGGCAGCGGAAATCGCAGCAACTGGGACATTTTCAGCTCCACTAGGATCTGGTGGGCCGGGAGGTCTTCCCGTTCCATATCTTGTTATCGGTAACAAAACTGATATTGCTCCTAAAGATGGGGGAAGAGTAAGCAGTGGCAATCTTGTCGATGTTGCGCGCCAATGGGTTGAGAAGCAAGGCCTGCTTCCTTCAAGTGAAGAGCTGCCTTTGAGAGAGAGTTTCCCGGGAAGTTCAGGGCTTCGATCGGTAATAAATGGATTTTCCATCTTATGGTTTAATTTATCGCAGGCACTTTCTTTCAGCTTTTGTTGATTATTGCATAATTTAGCTCCAGTTCTTCCCTGCATTTTCAAAAATTAATGCATTGTTCTTATAGTGTTTGTTTTCAGAAGTATGTAACCCTATTTCAACTGAGTTTTCCTTTCATCTATTATTTTCTCCATTCCTTCAATTAGTGCCACCATCCCCACCCAACAAAATTCAATGCAGTGGTACAGGAGAACTGGGTGTTTCTGAGTTAGGGAATTCGGTTATTGGCTTTTATAAATTCATTGGCTCCTTGATGGATATTTGGAGGTTGAACATCACATGGACGATTTGGTGGAAAGAATCCTTATTGATGTAAGGCAGGATGGATATAATAATTGTCTACATATAATCACACGTCAGGGTTGCTCACACGTCGCCCTACCAGTCGACGACACTCCTTCATACGCTCGTAGGTCGTCTCTCTAGCCCGATGACGTCTGTCTGCTCGCCTTATCCAAAGACAAAGACGACGTCTGTCTCTTCGAACACAACTTTCTCCTTTTTCGATTGCCTTGTCTGGTCACAGTTTCTCGCCATGCCACTCTAGAGTCATCTTGCTTGGTGGATATGGCCTCGACACTCTGTTCCTATGCCACTGCCTTTGCTGGCGACAATCCTAATCCTACTCGTACCCCTATGTCAGGTTCAGAGTCTGGTTTTGTTATCGGTGAGTCCTGCGTTGTTCCACAATTCTTCCATGAGGCTCTTGATGGTGGTGGTGATTACACTTTCATTAAAAAACTTGGTAAAAAAATGGGAAACCTGCTCTTTTTCTCTCTGAGGTTGAAACCAGTACTCTTGCGTCTTCTTGACTTTTTGCTATAGTGGGGAAATTCCTTTATAATCATTTTAAACTTGAGATCATTCAAAAAGATTTTGATGCTATGAAGCTATCAGTAAGTTGGAGTATTGGCTTACTTGACGATCGACATATACTTATTCAGTTATCTCACGATGCAGATTACACTTGTATTTTTTCTCGAAAGGTAATCAATATTGACAACCATCTTATGAAAATACTGAAGTGGGCTGGTGACTTTGATCCAAAAGCGGAGTCCCCTATTTTTCCTGTTTGGATAAAGTTTTCGGGGTTAAAACTACACCGGTTTAACTTGAAAATTTCTTTACTCCTTAGCAATTGCATACGATGAGCCTCTCAAGATTGATAATCCTACTCTTGCTGTCACTAGACCCTTTTTAACTTGTGTGTTAGTTGAGAGAAATATCATCCAACTAGCTCCGGATTAAGTATGAATTGGATCCACTCACAATGGGTTTTGACAAAAGGTTGAAATTGAACCACACCCTCCTTATTGCTCTCATTGTAGTATGTTTGTCTACAGTTCTACTATTTGCTATCGCTTGTATTCTTGCCTAAGGCTGGATATTGCTATAGATCAACAACTTGTTCAAAAATCTATTCATACTGAATTGGGGGTGGACATCTTGCCACCTACCATCCTTGCTAAAAAGGTGCAACCCGACCCTCTTTCCAACACCGCAAATACCTCTGCTCATCTGACTGACGCTGTTCCTGATGGGAAATCTTTTGATGACCCTCTTATTCAAACCTTTGCTCTCTCAGATGAAGAACATCACTTTTGATGACCCTCCTATTCAAACCTTTGCTCTCTCAGATGAAGAACATCATACCCAAGCCATTCTACCCCTTGATGCTCTTGCTTTTGAACACTTTATTCTAGCTGCTGGATTGGAGCATGATAGTCTGGAGTCTCATGAAACATCTCCCCATACTACTAGTACTGATCCAAACGTGTCGATACCCCTCATTGTTATTGAAAAAAACTCAATTACATGCCAAGACACACGAAAGTGCTCCTTTGATCCAATAAAAGATTAACTGGTACAACAAGTAGATGCTTCCAAAGTTCAACAACCTACACATGTCCGACAAACTTTAGACCAATCCATTGATCAGATGAGCCAGTCTTCGGATAAAGAATGACAGATCTATTCTAGGAGGAAGAAGAAGAATGGAGGCCGACTCGAGCTTAGGAACTTATTGGATGATACATTGGTTACTATTGAGAATGACACTCATCTTACCAATTTGTTAGCTGGTCCTAGAACTAGAGACAGAGGCAGGACAAAATTTGGTCGCTTTCTTGCTACTTGATACTACGTGTTTTGACATTCCGTATTTTTTTTTCTGGAATCATTTGCATGTGGTATTTACCGTATGGGTAGGGTGCCATACTTGAGCCCTCTCATACAATTTGAGATTGTCTAACATAGCTCATGGCAAAAATCTAGGCCAGTAGTATGGTTGTTCATGTTTCATTTTCTTGCAAGAAGATAAATAAATATAGACAAATAAGAAACACTGTCATTGCAGGGGTCCCTAGTCCTATTTGCGAAAAGTAGATGGTTGCGTTAGACAGTTGATAACAATCATAAAAATCTTATCGAAAAATTAATCATTGTGTCAATACTATGGTGTCCCCTGGAAGCGACGTATTCGGGTGTAATGTTAAATAAGTAAGGGTTCTCATATTATCCGGGCAAAGAAGTTAGTCCATATAATTAATATTATGATAGAATCATAGAACGTTCGTATTTTCACAGATAAATTAATAAAATTAATAGATGCTATGATTCATAGAAAGATGAATATCCTATGCATTCAGGAAACTAAATGGGTTGTCGAAAATGCTTAAGAGATTGATTGTTTAGATTTTAAACTTTGTTATTCATATAAAAGTCATACTAGAAATGACGTAGATGTAATTATAGATGAGTTTAAAAGATAATGTTGTAAGAATTAATAGAATTGGAGATATAATTATAGCTCTAAAGATCGTTGTTGATATTATGATTCTTAATGTTATAAGTGTTTATGGAGCCTCAAGTAAATTTGAATATATGTTTAAAAGAAAAATTTGGAATGACCTGGAAGTACTATTACAAAACATACCTCTTGAAGAAATAATTTTTTAAGAGGAGATTTAAATAGACATATTGGTAGAGTGGTAGAAGATCTTCGAAGTATTCATAATGGCTGTGGCTATGATTTTAAAGTGACTAATGAAGAAGGTAAAGTCATATTTGATTTTTTTTTGCTTATGATTTTGTTATTACTAATACTTTATTTTTTAAAAAATAAACATATTATCATTTATAAAAATGATTATAATCAAACACAAATTGATTATTTTCTTATGAGAAAAATTGATCATCGAGATTGTGAAGATTGTAAGGTCCTTCCATGTGAAAATATAAATATCTAACATTGATTATTGGTTTTGAATTTTAAGATAAATGACTGGAAGATGAAAAATATAATGAAATATTATCGTAGAATTAGAGCCATTTAAAAGATACAAATAAATTTATTTTGATGAGTAAACTTCAATATCATAATAATTGAGATCATGAAGAAACTAATACTCCGTGGGATAAAATAACGACTATTATTAAGCTAATTGCAAAAGACATGCCTGGGAATAAAAAAAATCTTTTATGAATAAAAATAGCTGGTGGTGAAATAATATGTGCAAGAAATGATAAAAAATAAGATTTTTTTGTTATAAAAATTGGTTTAGATGTAAAAGTTTGGAGAATTGGATAAAATATAAAGTGGCTTACAGGGAGTCCAAGAGAATAATTTATGATGCTATGAATTATGTTTTGATAATAGTCATGCAAAGAGATAAGAAAAGTAATGATTTAGTTCATGCAAAGAGTAATAAGAATGAAAACTAAAGTGTTTTTTTAGATGAGGATGAGTAAGATAATTTGATTAAATTTTTAATGAAATTGTGAAAATACGATTACTTTAGTGATGTTAATATTGTAAATAATAAAAAAGGTTTTATTACCATCGTCACATTAGTAAAACAATAGTTGAGGAGGCTTTAAAAAAATGAAGTATGAAAAAGCAATAGGACCTGATTGTATTCCAATTAAGTGTTAACTTGTTTAGGAAATTTGAGAATTTTTTTGCTCGCTAAATTTTTAGTATTATTTTAAAAACTAAAAGGTTATCTCATGAGTAAACAAATAGTGTATTATTTCTTATTTTCAGGAATAAAGGGGATGAACAATATTGTGCAAATTATTAGAAAAATTTTGTTAATCTAACGTACATTAAAGTTATGGGAGAGAATAATTGAATATGAGTTACGACCTGATAAACAAATTTCTCAAAATTAATTTGGATTTCATGCTAGGCAAGTCCACAATGAAAGCTATACAGTTATTGAGAAATTTGATGAAGAAGTATAGAGAGAGTAAGGAGGATCTACATATATGATTTTTGTTAATTTAGAAAAAAATTATGATAAGGTTCTAAGAGAAGTATTTTAGAGAGTTCTAGAAAAGAAATGTGTTGATATTGCTTTTATTCAAATCATTAAAGATATGCATATTAGAGATGTTATTTGTCTTCGAACACAAAGAGGATTGATCAGGTATTTTCCTATTCAATTGGATTACCTCAAAGATTAGCTTTAGGCCCGTATCTTTTTGCTTTAGTTATGGATGTTCTTATTGGACATTTACAGGAAGATGTACCTGGGTGTATGTTTTTCTTTGATGATATCCTTCTTGTGGATAAGATTAGAGAGAGTTCAGGAATAACATGAATTTTGAAGGCCAACTCGACTTTTGTTTGAGTAGATCTAAAATTGAATATATGGAATGTAATTTTAGTAGTAATAGATCTAATGTCGGGGTTGAAACAATGGTTAATCATGTCATTAAAGGAGTGAATGTTTTAGATATCTAAGGTCTATTGTTCAAAGTGACGGTGATATAGATGGGGATGTTATTAGTAGAATTCAATTTGGATAGTTGAATTGGAGGAATGCACAAGTCTATTGTGTGATAGAAAAATATCGCTTAGACTTAAAGGAAAATTTTTATAAGTTGGTGGTGAGATCTATAAGTTGGTGGTGAGATCTGTAAGTTGGTGGTGA